CCCCAAAACCCCAAAACCCCAAAACCCCAAAACCCCACTCTAGTCTAGAGGCATTGAAATCTATTATTCAGGTGGACAAGGGAACATTACTCTCACATGATAGTCGTTGAGTGACGCGAAGAAGTGGATTATAGCTCCAGCCAATACAAATCAATGCCAGATATTATGAGAGTTGCCAAATTTACAGAACTTTCCAGGGAAGAACTTTTCAGGGAATCTGAATGCGTATATAAAGGCTCCACTAACATACACAGCTCCACCGAGAGCCCAAAGAGAAATTGTCATAGGTGGGGTAATAAAAGGATCTCTAAATAAAGCAGCGTGTAATCCTGGTAATCCAGAGAATAAACCTACCAAAACGAACAATACAGCTCTAATATTTCTATATCTTGGCTGGTCAAAAGCTGGCAGTAAGCTACAGATGAAGGCTACTAGGCATATAGAATCAATTGCAACTGTATAAAATACTCCAAAATACCATAATCTGCCTCAATAGAATCCATAAATAAATGGAGGAATGGTGCTGCCCCCTATCAAGATAACAATTCCTCCATAATCTAGCCTCGAAAGTACTGTGTGGCAATGCTCTGAGTGGCATCAGAATAGATGGAAGACTGAGCTGAGTCCTAGACAAGTCATCGCTGCAATCATATGCAGCACTAGAGGAATTATAGAAACCTCCATTTGAGTATTATGGTGATCCTTGCTTTCATAGATCTCATTAGTGTTAAAGTAATTCTGGAACGAGTGGAGCTTATATTGAATAATCATCCTCTTAATAAATTCGTCAAAGTGATTAGCAACTATCTTCTCAAGATTTTGATATGTCAACTTCATATTTTCAACAAGTTGAGATTCATAATAATCTTTCGAGAATCTAGGATTTTGTTCCTCTGATTTTAATCATGTTGATAACTCAGAATTGATCCTTTCCTGTCAGTAATGGGAGATGGAATTCACTACTTCGATGACCATATCAGGTTCTAGATTGTATTTATTAGTAAGGTCTTCTATTGTATCAGCCTCTGTATGGAAAAAATACTCTATTTGCCTCACTACTTCCTGATAAGGGTCTCTTTCTAATAGCATAAATCTGGATAATGAAGAGGTAGTCTCAATCTTTTTCCTCTCTTCCAAATAAGGATCAAGACAAGAATTTTTAGAGAAGTATTCAAATCCTTTAACTTCGACTTCCTGATGCCAGAGATCGATAGAGTTTGCATAGATCCGATCGTAGAGCGTACATGGAGGAAGATTATTTCTAATCTGTTCAGACAACTTCAAAGAATGATCAAGTCATTCGTGGTCTTGATTTTCTAATGCGTCATCAATTGTTTCCCCAAAATTATCTACTATTTCTTGCCTTGCAGAATAAAGATCAAGATTGGTAAAGGTTCAGATATATAACATAAGTCCAAAAAAGAGCATGACACCAATGAAATGAGTCCAGACGTTGGTGGTCTCATTATGATACATGAAGAGAGATTTTATGGCTGATTTAAAATCATTAAACCCTATACGATATCCAGTTAGGATATATTCATTGTCTTTTAGGAAATCAGGAGCTTCATCAATGTCACCAATGAACTGCTTCTTTGTTTGGCTCTTTTTATTTCTATCTGCTCCATTTGGCGTGCTCTTCTGTTTTGATTTACCTCGATGGCGGTTCTATATGAAGTTAATAATTTGATAGATATTTTTTAAATATTCAAGGAAAACAGCTATTAGGTGATAAGGATCTACGCTACTTTTGATTTCTTCTCTATTGTAATTAGCATTGGGATTTAATTTCATTTACCTTTATGTTAACCATTTTCTCAGTTTATAATGTCTTTAAATTTCTATATCAAAATGGTGAGCTGGGGTTTTGGGGTTTTGGGGTTTTGGGGTTTTGGGG